GTGTATAAGAGACAGTCCCGGCGCTGGAGGTGCTGGATGTGAGCGGGACGGGGCTGGCGGAGCTGGGCGCGGAGCTGCTGGCCCTTCCGCGCCTCCACACGCTCCTGGCCAAGAACAACCGGCTGGGCGGGCCCGGCTCTCTGCCCAAGGGGCTGGGGCAGGCCCCGCTCGGCCGCTCCCTCCGCGTCCTCAACCTCAGCGGGAACCGCTTCGCCGAGGTGCCGCCCGCCCTGCTGGGGCTCCGCGGGCTGCAGAGCCTCAGCCTCGGCGGCAACCGCCTCCACGGCATCCCGCCCGACATCCAGGAGCTCCGCAGGTGAGGGCAGGGCGCCGGGCCTTTGCCCGGGGTGTGGGGGACACACACAGGGCTGCCAGGCAGACCCAACCGGCTTTTCTCGCATGCCTCGTGTCTCGCTCCCGCTTTGTCGAGGAGTGAGTTTTGCCCGGCCTCAGGTGTCTCTAAGCACTGCTGCTACTAACGTGTCTCTTCCCCTTTGGCAGGTTGAGTTACCAAAACTCAGAGCCGCTCTTCAGGTGGGCGACGGGCCTTTTGCACTTGCAAAATGGGCGACTCTTCCAGGATTTCCTAGTCCTTGGGCTGCCTTGGCGTGGGGGAGCCTCTCCTAATGTCGGTGTGGTTGGTATGAGTGTTGATGTGCAGAAGGTGCTCCGTGGCTTTGCTTTAATACAGGTCTCTAGGCAAGAGCGAAATGAACCCCCATGTCTCATGCAGCTTGGCTGCACAACGGACTGCACAGGAGAATAAAGATCTTGTGGTTTCTGCAGACAATAGGGCCTTTCTGCTGATATGGTTCAGTATCATCAGGGTGATTGCGGGTTCCATTGGGGTTTTGTTGTATTTCCCTCCACCTACCCAGCTCGTGTAGGTGTGACAGATCTTCTGAAGGGTAGAGCCCTAGGCTCTGCTCAGGTACATCTGGCTCTGGGGCTGGATCACACCACCGCAGGCCGATGAGGTAGAAACCTGGGGCTGAATAATGGCTTTTAGGAATGTTGGTGGGGTGGGAACAGCTCTGAGGTAGGACTGGGCATTGGCTGCCCGCAACGACCTGGGGCAGGTACTTCTGAAGGCTGCCATCCTCCTGGGCAAGCTGGAGGCCATGTTCTGACTTGCCTGTTATGCCCAGGCACCCTGGTGTGTTCTGCTGGTTTCTCAAGCTTCAGTCTAGCCCCTTTATGGCTTTGCACTAAGACTCTGGGTCTGAACTTCTTTCATTCCAGCTCTTTGCGAAGGGACACGCCAGAGGCAGCCCCTCTTACGCAAATTCCAGCAACCTTGACCCTAATTAGCTGGATTCGCCCTGATGGCTCAGCAAAGCTGCATCCAGTGGAAGTACAGGTTGTCTCCCACAGCCCAAGGTTGGAGGTACTAGAACTGCTTAGTGCCAGCAGGAAATGGTTTGGTCTGTCACTGTGTGATACAGTTGGGTATGTGGCTTTTGCCCAGATAGCACAGCATGCACCTGTTGAGGATCTGGAGCAACTCTGGGTTAAACTAAGTCTGACAGATGCTATGAGGCATTTTGAGTGCTAGAGAATGCCCCTGCCCCTCTTGGCAGAGTTGAGGTGTGTCCTTGATTGGGGCTGTCGTGAGGAGGAAGAACCTCAGCTTTCTCTCTGTTCAGGAGCAGTTTCTTCAGGGATAACAAAGGAAAAGAGGACAGTGGCACCAACTTCATGGGAAAGGAGGCCAAGAGAGGAGGGCAGTTATGCGTGGGAGATGATCCATGTTTCCTCCATAGCATTCCTGGTAGCATCCAGGATGTGGTTGGGATCTGGTTGCACCCACCTCTGAGGCAGAGGCTCCCTGCTGCTGCTTGCATCCTCTCATCTGTGGTTGTGGTTTCTCGCGGTCTCATTTCTTTCTTTTTTTTTTTTTTTTTTTTTTTTTTTTTTTTTTTTTTTTCTCCAAGTAAACAAACCTCAGCCCTGCTTTTTGTTATGCTGCTGATCCTGGGAGGATACCAGGTGGTGTAGCAGGGCACAGTGGGCTGTGTGCTGCACTCCGTGCTGCACTGCTGTCAGACTGCTGCTGTGTGGTTGGTTACTCTGCTTTGTTCTTCAGGCCTGCCCTGATGCAGGGCTCCTGTTTGTCCTGTCCTGCTGCTTTTCTTGGGCTCGTTATGCTCGAACCCCAGAATGACAATTCCAAGAGGGCAAACGCGGACAAGGCTAATTGAACTGTCGGTTTATCGTTACAAAGTGATGTGTCAGGTAATAAAATTAGACTAGACCCAGCTTGTGTCTGCTGCCCGCGTAATCACTGCAAACTCATTGAACTTCTGCTAACGTGTCACCATAATATAATTGAACTTTAGCTTAAGATAGTGAATCTGTGCTCCACCAGGATTGTCAGCTTCTTTACCACTGCCATCCCTGACTCTTCTGTATTTGCAACTGCTTAAGTAACAAAAGGGAGCACACTTGCTTGCCAGAACTGGGAGAAAAACTATAATTTAATATTCCTCCAGAGGGAATCCTGAATCTACTCGTTGGGACCCCTGACCTGATACCGTTGCCAAAAAGATAGTGAATATGTACTGGAGAGAAACTGCTGCTAGACCCTCCTCCTGCCTGCAAGCAAGAGCATGCATAGTGTTGAAATGGGTAAAATGAGCCTGAGCAAGGACAGAGCAGAACCAGTTGTTGTGGCAGGGCAACGCTGGATTTGTTTCTGAACTCTGGGCCAGGAGGTGGGACCTGGTGTAGGTGCTGGGGCTTCTCTTAACCTTACAGCTCAAGCTGCAAGTGTCTGTCTTGCTGTTATTGGCAAGCCAAGACTCTCAGCCTTTTTCCATTTACAACTTCCCATAAAAGAAGTGTTTCTCGTGTCTTGTGGTCTCTGAGACCACAGAGGAACGCAGGCAGCACTTTGACCAGACACGTTCCTTCTGCTAGTACTAGAGTTCCTGAGGCCAGCAGTTCTCCTCTTTCTGTGACCCTGGCAGCTTCCCATTTGCTCAAGTCACTGATTATAGAGCAGAGTTGCAGAGATCTAGAAATACTTTTATGTTTTCAGGACATGTCTGAGCTTTGATGAGATTTAAAAAAAAAAATTCTTGGTAACAAAGACTCATGTCTTTCCTGTGCACCCCATAGTTTCCTGTTGTAGTTTTTGAAAGGGTAGCATGTCAGTTTTGGTGAAGGCCAGGAACACAGCAGGTAAGGAGTCTATGTTCTGAAGCTGAAAGAATAGAAAGCTGATGAGTCTGATCTGCCAAGGGAAAAGGAACATGCTGGCAACTACAAGATGCAAAGGCTCTGGAATGAGAGACGTGTGCCATGCGTTGTTACTCACATGAAGATAATAAATTCACAACTTTGGAGCAAGCTGGGGGTCAGGCGTTTTGTGCAAAAACTTTTTCCTAGCATGTTCCTAGTGATTTCAGGAGTTAACGAACAGCAATAAGAACCCCAGCCAGCCTTGCTGCTGTCTTGTCTTACTCCTTCCAGCTTCGGCCATCTGCCCCATCTTTGCCCACACAAATCTGTGTGCAGTGCTAGATCCTGCACAGAAAGCAAGTGCCTTTCACCTGACTATCGGTTACCTCCTAGGCCATTGTAGAAGGACCACCTATAGATGTCCTGATGCTTGAAGCTTCTATCACATAGCTTCATAAGTGGGTGATCATGATTGCCCTGGTGACAGCAGCAGGATGATGCTGATCGTAACATGCCAGCATCAGATGAATACCCTTTACTTCATGTTTTCCATTCAGAAAATGCAGTGTTCTTCCCTCCTAATTCCACCGTAATTGTCTATGGTGAGCTGCAACGACCGCTTATGTTTCTGAGAAAGGTAAGCATGGGTCCTACTGAGGGTTTCTTTAAATAGTGTGGCTGTGGCAGCCCTTTCTGAATGCCCACCCCCCCCAGATACTGTCAGCTAGCCGTGTCAGTACAGCGCAAGGCCTGAATTGCAGCATTGGCTGTTGTTGTGAATTTGGAGTAGAAAACGCACCAGATGGGTGAGAGAGGCTCTCTTTGCATTGTTTCCCTGTTTGTTGCCAGTTAAAAAACAAGCTTAGCATATGTAGACATAAGTGTCGTCTTTTTTGTCGTTCTCCCTCCAACATTGACCTTCCTCTGTTTTCAGTGTGAGGTGTTAAGGTCAGTCTCTCAGATTCGATTCACAGCCCCTGGCAGCTGCAGCTGTGATCTGCATAGACATCCCACTGCCGCATTGGTTGTGTGTATCCTTCCTCTGCTGATCCAGTGGGGGATGTGCTAAGGGGTGACAGCTGCTGAGCTAGAAGTGTAGTCATCTACTTGTGCCCTTTCTGGATAAAATTTGTTTGGCAAGTCTGGTAGACCACAGCTCTGGTCTTCACCGTCCAGCTCCAGCTTTTGGCTTAAGGGTGCATGGATTGCCCTCGTGAGCGTGCACGCCTGGGGAAATGTCTTGCAAGTGTCTCCTTTAAAGGGCAAAATTCTCAGGAACTTGGTGAGATGCAGTTGATACCTTGAATCTCCTGATGTGAATTTCAAGTTTAGTCATCTAGTGAATACTCTCACGCTCAGTAGAGCACCAGGAGCAGGCAGAAAGAGCTTGGGAAAGAGCCAGGCTCTTTCCAGGCGTTTTCTGTGCATGCTCCTTTCCTTCTTGCACGGATTCATCTAGTAAAGCCCAATTGTGCAAGGGCTGGGATCAAAGGCATCAGACGCCCATCTGGATTCATCCAAGTTTTGTGCAAAGGCTTAGATGCGATGGAAACCAGAGTATTTGCTTTTATTCATGGGTAGTATTAAGCGTGTTAGACAAGCATACACTTAAGAACGTCTGTTACAGTGTGGGAAAAACGGCAAGTGAAGCTTTGATAAAGATACAGCATTAGGAAATCTTCTTGCTGCCTCCCTTTTTCTTCCCCTCTTCAAACGTTTTGCAAATAGTTTTCAGACGACCGTTTGATCTTAAATTTGCGTGTCAGCAAAGGCTATGCAGTTCTCTCAGGAATTAGCAAATTGTAGAACAGGGTGAACAGGAGTGTATTGTGGGCTGCTTTTAAATTCCTCCCTTGTATCAGCCTAAAAAGTGCCCTGGAAATTTATTGCTAAAAAGTTTATCTTAAAAAGACCTGGAGCTATTTCAGGCTCCATTGTTTCTTTTTAGATGCATCTGTTTGATGTCAGCTGTTAAATTTTTATCCAAAGAAGCATCTGTGGGGAAACAGGGTGGATTGAAAATTTGAGTGTCTTCTATGCCAGAAGACGTTCTCCCCTTGAAACATGACTATGAAAATGTCATGGTAATTCATAGGGTATCAAAAATGCCTCTAGTGCTCGAAGTGAGCTGCTCTTACTGAGTGATTGGGGGCTTTTTGATTTGTTTTGTGCTATATGATGACCTGGAAACCTCAAGGACATACTCAAGCAAGAATGTGTGGTCTCTTGGCATGTTAAACTGCCACCACCTGCATCAATTCATAGTTCTTTGAGCATTTGCCCACTCCCTTCCCATATGTAAAAGGATTTCCACAGCCACCCTACGCCCCCCACTAGAGAGGAACAACATGCCACGGGCCCAGTGTGCCACCTGCTGCTTGGCAGCAATTAGTACTGTCTCTGCTGAGTGAGGGGCCTGCTGGATATGAGGCTGAAAGGGACTCTGGCCTTTTGTTAGTGTCTTTGTAAACATTGCTAAAAGGTGAGAGACACGTTGTTAGCCTCCATTAGTTAGTCTGGCAAATGTGGGGTATTTTCATTTTTTGTTGAGATGGATTTTGTTGGTGTTTGTCTCCTCTTGAAACTTGTTCAGCCAGTGCCTGTGTGGCAGGTTGAAAGTATACCCTTTATTTTAGCTTCAAAAATAGGAACTGAGCTTACGTTCGTTTGAGGCTGATTGCTCTCTGGCTCTTCTAAGTTCCTGGACTGACTTTTGAAAGTACAGAAAAATTCCATCTCTCCCTCTGTGTACACAGTGATGCATGAGACCTTAGCTGGCTTGTCCAAATGACTATGCAGATTAATGATTGTCAGAAAAACTGGGTCTTGGTGTGAAAGGTTAGTTAGAAGTATTTGCTAAGCTCAGTCCTGTCTCTGCTATGGTCCTCCTGTGAAAAACTACAGTAAATGTTGTGAATTGTCTCATTGCAAGCTATTTTGTGAGGAGGGCAGAGCTCAGCAGTGCTCTTGCTCATCTTACCGAGGAGCAGCTTGCCCCCCTGCTGGAGAGCCACGTTGCTTTGGTCTCTAGGTACAGGCTTTGTATGACATGAAAATCAGGCCAGGAGTAGGTGAGCTAGGAACAAACTGTGGCCCCAGTGGTGTGGTCAGCAAAAGGGTTGTGTCTCTTGAAAATCCTTGTCTCTGTCATAGTTAGCTTTGCTCAAACAATTCTTGACACCTTAATTTGACACAGAAATGACTATTGTTGATTTCTCCCTGTTGCTCAGCCAAGACTAAGCTAGATCCTTCTTTCTAGCTAATTGTATTTTGGGAGGATGGGAATGACAGATTTCTTTTGCCTACTAAGCAGTGTTTCCTTGGAAGCTGTAAGAGTATCTTCGCTGTATGTAAAATAAGTTTCTTTATAGTTTCAAAACCTCCTCCCTATGCTTTTTTTAATAAATTTACCATCTAAGTCATATCTTAAGTTGATGTTGGAAATTCTGATTTGCTGTATTAGACTGGGCCCAGCGAGGGGTTAGCCTACTGACCTCAAAAAGGTGACTCAGAAGACAAGGAGTTACCTTATTTAGCGGATTTTTAGTTAACAGACAGTTTGTAGTCTGCTGTTGGAGCTTTATTTCCTAGCTGGTATAACTGATGTTCTTATTACACAGACTCTACAGAGGACGGAATTGAAAACTGTAAGTAGTTTGTAAGCAGTGTTTTTGCATGCTTAGCTTGTGCAGTAAGCTGCTCTTGAAACTTAGGTATTTCATGCCTTGAAATGAATTTCAAAACCTCTATACTATATATTTTGCACCCCTCTTCTTCCCTAACATGTGTTTTCATGCTGTGTGGCTGTATGGTCATTATTGTCTTCAAACACAGAAGATGATGAGTTAATTATTCACTTTTCCTAGGACGTGGAAACTTGTACATATCTAAACCTTGTTTAAACATTGAAATCCACATCACTACAATTCACTTGCCCAACAGTTTTTGCTGTGGGCTCCAGCAATGGCATGTAGTTAAAATATGCCTCAGAATTGTATGGTCAGCAGTTAACTCCCTAACAAGAGCCAAGCAGCCTAAATCCATCGTGGGAAACAATGGAGGTTGAAGGAGGGATTTTGGTTAAAACTCAGGGCTTTGTTAGGGGATCAAAATTTAATTAAAAATAATCTCCTCTTGATGTGATATCTGCACAACAGCCTTCCTCCTACCCCACTCCTCACTACAGGCTGTCTATGTAGAAGAGGGGCTACTCTGAGCAGTGGGGCTTTGGTGATGGTTTTCTCCTTGTGTACTTTCTTGTGTGTTCAGAATAACCCCTAAATGTGCTGTCCCACTCAATCTCTCAACTGAAGCAAGTATAGTTACTTCCTTTCACATAGTCATATCCATTTTAAGGCTTAATTTTGTGCCCACTTTGCAAACTTAAGTTATTTAGCTTGCCTTTGACACACTCCAGAAAGGTGAGCGAATCCAGGGGGAGTTAAGCTCTGTGAGCATCTCCTGGTGTGTTGCAGAGGTCTGTTCTTCGCTCTTGGGCAGATGGTCCTTTGCGCTGTGTTAGTGGCCCCTGTAGCCCAAGCAGGTGCTGTTATTGGATCTTTGGGATTCAAGTTTCTTTCAAGAACTGAACATAATAGTCTCTTTCTACCATTCTGCTCCATCCCAGCAGCAGGCCCAGGGATCAGACCCTCAGTTGCAGGGTTCAGACCTTCTCTGCGTCGACTGCCGTGTCCCTTGTGTGGTTGTGTTTCTTTGCCAGTTGTATCCACAGCCTTTCTCAGTTGCTGGGGTGAGATGAAGGTGTCTCCTTTTCCAAGGAGGTTATAAGCTGTTCTTAAAGAAAGGCTGATGGAGCCTGGATGACTGCTCTTTCCCTGATCCCCGGGGAATGCTTGGTGGATCAGAGGGGGCCAGTGTACACTGTAGTTAGGCAGCTAACCCAAGTGTGTACTGCAGATTTTAAGCCAGCACCTTCAGACAGGACTGTAGGATCCACTTTTTTTTAGGCGTGGGGAAAAATGTTGTCTGGACCATGATTAGCAATGGTGTGTCTTCCAAGTCAGAGGTACCCAAACTGAACCTGCCTTTGCTCCTCTTCCAGACAGCATCTGAGAACAGGACAGGAAAACTGTCCAACTCTGTGAAATGGGGACTTGCAGCTATTACATTGAAGAGAAGTGCTTGCCAATCTTTCTCCCTTGAAGGGCAGAGATGCACAGCAAATACTGGCTATTCCACCTGGCAGAAGGGATCTAGTGCCTCTCTTTGTTACTGCTTCCCATCCACTGAGTTTTCACAGGACATCCAGTGATTTTTATTTTTTTTTTTTCCCTTTTAGTTAGGCCTTAACTGCAGTTAAGCCCAGCTAACGTTTTTGGTAGCTTTGGGCTCCATGGCTTCAGTATAGTGAAATCAATCTATCTGAGAAATGGCGTGCAAGTAATTGTGCAACGTGGGTGCACTCTGTGCTGTGCAGTTGTGGTGTTGGTATGTGAATTGTATCAAAATGGGATTGGCTGCCTCTGATTTCCACTGAAGGGTTGCAGTTAGTCACTTGAGGAGTCAAATGATACCGTAAAGAGCAACTAGTGATTGTGTAGGGCTGGGATTTTCAGAGAGAGCCACTGCGTTCTTGCTTTGCTCCTACTGAAACTGAGAACTCCCACGGACTGCAGTAGGATCTGTGTTGGTGCTGCAGACCTTGCATGTGCAGGCTGATTTTCCCTGGAAATAGGAGTGGGAGCTTTGCATGTGGGCTTGCTGTAGGAATACATGGCTGTCTGGTGCCTACCTACAGATGTATTGGTGACTGCAGGAGGCTGGAGGTAAATCTCAACATTATCTGTTGTGAAACAGCAGCTCTGTTGTAATTTTTATGTGTAACTGAGCTTTTTTTTTTTTCCCCCCTCATCAAATTATCTCATATGTAGTCATCTGTAAGTTTTCTTTAAGAAATGCAGGAGATGAGAAGACCAAGTGTTAAATGAAACTGGAAATGACCTTAATGAAATAACTCAGTATTTTATCTTCTCTTTTTCAGTTTAGAGTTTCTGTACCTTGGAGGAAATTTCATTACTTCAATTCCACCTGAATTAGCGAACCTGCCTTCTCTAAGCTATTTAGTTCTGTGTGACAACAAGATCCAGAGCATTCCACCTCAGCTGGCACAGTGAGTTTTTACTGTCATCAGCTACTGCCTGTAATTAACTCCTTGAAGATTTTCTTCTGTATGTGTGCATAAAAGCATCTGGGAGGACCTATTTGTCCTTTAGTTTGTTAATGTGACTAGACTTGAATGAGAAAATCCTTAGCATGGTGTACTGCAGGCAGACCATGTATATGTAATATGGAAATCTCAATCAAAGGGTTATGGAAAAAGAAAATGTCACCAGTATACACTTTAAGGTGAATTAATATTAATAGATTTGTACAGGGAGCTCTGAGAAGTGCCTGGGCAATTCAGAAAAGATGAACTGCCATGCTACCATGTTCTTAGTGAAGAATGCTTGGTCTGTTTTGTCTTTCACCCAAATCCTTTTTGTGTGTGCTTTTGTGTAGTACCATCCTCTGTGCTTTCTTGGCATTTCTTACTCTGGGATCTCAGAATGTTTTAGACCTTGTTAAATCCTGCAGCATGGCTCTATAGGATAAGTTACTCCTTTATCTGTTTCACAAGGGGGAAGAGGGCACTGCAAACTCTGTATGGGTAGCCTAAGATGAGAGGTGAAGAATTCAGTGTGTAGCTGTAACCCCAAAAGCAATTGAATGGCAGCTCATGAGTTTTCTGAGTTGGAATTTGATGGTGTAGTGGGATTATTCTTAATATACAGTGTCCAGTTGTCTTGTAACTTGGACTGGTTTGAGAGCATCCCTGGACTCTGTGCTGAAGCATTGCTTCGTGCTTCCTGAGAGAGATGAACACCTCCTCCAAAGCCAAAAAACTTGCCTGGCACCCATGCTGATGCTTGCCTGGCCTGACCTTGCTTAGCTTCTGAGATCTGGTGTATCACAGAGCAAGGTGATGCAGCTGCAAGCAGTGAAAATACCCATGGGGTTTTCCAGAGTTGGCTGCCTACCAGCAGTCATCTTTAATGCATGAGTGAAAGCAGGTGACATATTCAAAGTACTGCATGGAACCGTTCTTGCTACAAGGAGATAATGCTTCCTTGTACCCAAGGTAGCATTATCTCCCCTGAAAGCACTCACTCAGTTTGTATATGTTTGTTCTGTGCTACCTTTTTTGGGGTGTGTGTGGGGGCAATATTGAGAGAGACAGCAGCACATAAGACTGTTTCTTTAACAGGTGTTCCAGAGCTGAGCCAGGTTTTCTAGGGCCTTGTATGTGCTGGAGTAACAGCAGCTCTTTTAGCATGAATTTATGTTTTAAAAGGAAGAAAAGCCAAAATATAAGAGATTGGTGGGAGAGGGGAGAGTAATCAAGACTGGAATGCAGTTGTGGAATGATTTTGCTTGCCCATCTTGACTGGGTTTCCACCTCCATCCCCAGGCTGCATTCCCTGCGTTCCCTCAGCCTGCACAATAACCTGCTGACTTACCTTCCTCGAGAGATCCTTAACCTGGTTCACCTGGAAGAGCTGAGCTTGCGTGGGAACCCACTGGTGGTTCGGTTTGTCCGTGACCTGACCTACAATCCCCCAAGCCTTCAGGAACTGGCTGGACGCACAATTAAAACTCGCAACGTTCACTACGCTCCCAGCGATCTCCCAGAGAATCTTGTCCGGTATCTGAGCTTGGCCAGCAACTGTCCCAATCCTAAATGTGGGGGTAAGTTCACCTTCACTGCTCTGCTCCCTGCTTTTACCTGATGGGTTTTCTTTCCCTCTCGCTTGCTGTGACTTCAGTAGCTCAGTCAGGTTTGATGTGATGTTGCATCCAAATTCTAGCTGTATTTCATTGGCTCCAGGTCTTTAAGGAAGGAACCTTGTTCACTTAGGAATGATGTTCAAAGCTGTAGTACTGGTTTACTCTATCTGCATGGAAATGTAAGACCGTTTTTGTCAGAGTCTTTGCAGCTTATCCCAGCACACCACTATGCTTTTACGGTCTGAAGTTTCTGATCTGTTTGCCCTGAAAAAGCACAGTCTAAGTAATGGACAGGAGAACGTTTGCAAGCGCTCTTGCTGAACAGCAAGCTTCCTTTCTGAATGGAAGAGAGGAGAGAAGCTGCAGTGCTTGGCAGTTAGCAGAAGCGACTTGTTTAGCTCTTGCTTGGGACTACTGGCTTGTGGTTCCTGGAAGGAGAGGACTTCATAGAAAAGCCTGGAATGCTTGAGCTTAATTTGGCTTAATGCTTAATCTTTATCCAGAGTAAATGATCTGCTCATTTAGCCTTTAGAAGATTAAGGAAGAAAATAATTAATTAGTATCTACCCTGCAGTCATAACACAGGCTGTTATCTTATCTCCTTATAGGACAATATCAAAGCTTGCTCTGTAAGCAAAGACGGAAGGGCTGGAACTTATGTTGGAAGGGAAAGAAATGTCTCCTTTTTTAGAGTTATAACAGTGGATTGGTTTTTCTCTTTCTCATTTTCGCTTATGAACTACCACAGTACAGCAGCATTGCTTTAGCACTGCAGGAGAAAAGCTTACTCCAGACCAGCTAAGACTTAAAACACTGCTGGAAACTTCTGAAAATGGTACTGTCTAAAATCACTTGCTGTGACAGGAAAAGAATGTAATTGCATGTTACAGCAACACTGTTGCCATGGAAAGTAGCATCCAAACTCAGCATGGTGACTTCATTCAAGCAGAAGAAAAGTAAAGCTATGAAGGTCTATTTGTGCATTTTTGCTAGCTGGTGGAAGAGGTTTTACAAGTTTGAAAATAGAGTAGATGAATTAATTTGACATTTAAGAAGTTTGCAAATTCCCAGCTGGAGATTTCTCCTCATGGTTAGAAGAAATTGCCAGATTCTTTGGAAGTAGTTGCCCTGTGTCTTTTTGTGTAGAGTGTGCCATTCTGAATCACTTATCATATGGAGTTCCACAAGATTTTAGTTTTTCTTTTTAAGTAAGAAAGGAAATTTCACATTTCCATAGGTGTCTTGGTCCCCTCTCTTCCTCCAGTATCCCTTGTTCTTCTGTGTCAGGTGCCGTGTCATTTAAATGCCAATTTGAGGCATTTGTACCAGCCTCAACAACCTTGCAGAGCTTACAGGCTTTTCCACACAGGGTCTCATGTGTTGTTACTGTTCCTTCTGCCCTTACAGGTGTCTACTTTGACAGCTGTGTCAGACAAATCAAGTTCGTTGACTTCTGTGGGAAGTATCGCCTCCCGCTGATGCACTACCTGTGCTCCCCAGAGTGCTCCTCTCCCTGCAGCTCTGCCTCCCAGAGCTCTACTTCCCAGAGTGAGTCTGACTCTGAGGACGAAGCCAGCGTCGCTGCACGCAGGATGCAGAAAGTCCTTCTGGGATAACAGGGAGTGAGGGGGGAAGCCGGGAAGGAAAACATCTTTGAAAAGCGTTAATGGAACAGCAAAGCATGAGCCTCTGGCCCGAAGGGCTCATGAGAAACTGTCCTCAAGTCCATGCAAGGGGCAGAACATCTTAGCAAGGCCTGGACTTGCTTGGTGCAGTGCTACTTAGGAGAACTCACTTGGTGGCATGCTGCCTGTAGGGTGCCTGGGATTGTTAGAAACATCTCCTGCCTGGGAGACACACCCCACTCCCTCGTACAGCCTGGGGAGGGGGATTCGTTCTCACTGGCGGATTGAGAAGGGTTTTCATAGATGACACTTCACCAGACTTCAGTTACGCCTCAGAGCAGAGGAGACTGGCCAGATCTCTTTAACACTGTGGTAAATCAGAAACAGGCTAATGATGCCATGTGAGTATATACGGACTCCAATGTTTATGTAGCATTTTGATTCTTTGCTGTCTCCTGTGATTTCAGTTACAGATTTTACACCCATCCCCTAAAAATGGGAGTTGGATTCTTTATTTGTTCAGGAGTAGATTTTTCCAAACCCTGGTTGCTCTTCCTTTGCCTAGAGGCGTAGGGTCTCTGTAACAGAGGTCTCTGTAACATCATAGAACTGAGCCACCTTTTTTTTTTTTTTTCCTCTCCCTTGTTATACTAAGATGCTCTTAGTGTTTCCTCCTAACTGTATTTTTTATTTTTCCTCCCTCTGCCTCTTCCCATTACACCTGGAGTGTTGCTGTCATTATGGTGCCTTCAGAAAACAGAGTTGTTGTTCTACTGAGACTTGGTATTACTTCAGACTCACGACCGTACGTGCCTGTGCAAGGGACCAGATGAGATGCTCCGAATCACGTTTTGAGTCTCAGCTTACTGGAGCAAATCTGCTTTTATATCTGTGAATTGCAGGACAGGTCTTGATTGACATTTCTGGTTTCTAAACAACCGTGTCCCCCTGCTGCAGCCAGCTCTGCTGTGCTTGGTACAGAGTTGCTTTCCATCTTTAAGGTCATCTGCTTAAAGCAGGCAGCAGCTTAATGAATTGGAAGTATTGAGAGAAGTGCCGTGGAGAATGGCTTTTCTTTTTTCTTATTCATAACATGAGAGGAAAAGCCAGTAGGGAGGCTGAGGTGTGAGTATCTTGCATGAGGTGGTTTTGAAACCTCTTCCTTATTTATTTGTTTGCATTTTCTCTGGTTATAATAGCTTTGGCAGTCTGTTAGATTGTTCAAATAACATATTCAGTTATCTTAAACTGTGTTTAAAGGAAAGCTGCAGAAAATAGCTCGGAATTTCTTAGTATCAAGAAATATCTTATAAAAATTAATATTATGAATTGACAGAGATCGATAAATCTACTTTATGGGGCTGTTGTGTGCTTTTGTCAGTGAGAGCTGCCCCTTTATTAATATTTCATGACAGTCCTTTTGATGCAGTTTCAGACAGCAAATCCAGCTGTGCCTTCGAATGCATAAGCAGAGCTAATAGATTGTGTGAAAAAGCTAAATGAACAACTTTCCTTAACCAACTCTGGTCCAAAGGGGGAAATAAAAAACCTGTGCTTCTCTCCTGCATTCAGAAAACGAATATACCTATTTGAATATCTTATGGCAGCTCTGTGTTAATGGTCCTGTTTAATTATATTTGACACTTTATATATTAAAGCACTTTGATAATTCTACTCTCTGTAACTAGCTTTAGTGATTTTTTTTTTTTTTTTTTTTTTTTTGTAATTAGACTACAATTTTTCCTTTAATGTGACCTGAAGAACAAGGTCTGGGAAACGTTTTACATTCCAGTCTGTCTTGGTGTGCAGGTTGAACTTCTTGCCTTGCATTTCCTTGACAGCACTACTCGTTTCCCCAGTTTCCTTTGGAGAGAACTGGAGTTTGAAAGAAATGATCTGGTTGTAAAATAGCATCCCATCTGTAATTAATCATTGCAGCTTAGTCTGAAGATTCCCCACATGCATAGATCCACACTGAACTAAATTGCACACGCTGTGTGCCTTTCTAAATATTTTTTTAAAGTATATTTTTAAAGACAGAATAAGGTATATGTGCAAAACAACTGGATGTCACTTTAGCAAATTCTGTGAGGTTTGCTTGGGCAGAAGAACCTACAGATTTTGAGAAAAACTGATTGCATGCTGCTAGTTAAATTTGGATCAGAGTGGCCTGTGTTTTGTTCTTCATTGCCTCTTTCAGATGCTTCTTCCTGTCCCAAGTGAATATTTTCATGCTGAGGGACAGTAAACTGGTTTTAGAGCCATGGTTTTAAATTGGCTGCTAGTATAACAGCAGTGAGTGATCTGGAGCTTGGTACTTCTGCCAGTGAAAGTGAGCCACACAAGTTGAGATCTCAAGATCTCTTAAGCTCAGGGCCATGAGGTACCACCTTCCTTTCTCCTCTTTAGCAGCAGCTGTCTTGAAGTCATGCATTTTTTTACTTTACAAGGTTAGATTTCACCACAGTTCCTGTTTGCACGGTAGCACCTCTGTGTGTGATGGGTTAAGATCAGTAGTGGCTGGTTCTAATTTAGCAAATGCAGTTAAGGATCAAGCTTTCCTAACTGAACAGGCATCCCATTTCTGCCCCAATTCTAATAGGCTAATCTCTTTTCACAGCTTCTTCATTGTAGCCAGGTCAAAACTTGACAGCTTATGCAGTTGATATCTCTATGCATTTTTAGACTTTATAAAATATCTTGTCTCTTAAAAATGTATATATATTCCCAAATACAGCTACCAAGTTTTCTTTTTGCTGCTGGGCTTTAAAGTGCAATTCAACTAAGTCAGAGTTTAAAACAATCATGGATTTGTAAGGAAAGAAAATGGTTGTTGATTGGTTGTTGTTGTTTTTTTCCCCTCAGAGGTAGATTTGAGAGGACTAGGAGTGCAGGTTTGTACTGTAGTGCCTAATGTATTGAGCCTCTGGGAGTCAAGTTTTTCAGCAATTGTTGGGCCTGGAAGACTGGAAAATGTACTGGGCAATAAAATAGGTTAAGACAAACACTGAAAATACACTGATGGATGGTAGGCACTAGTTCCTACCGTCCTCTTCTCAGGGGCCCTGAGAAGCAGACAGTGGTTTTGCCAGCATTATAGCTCTTTTTGTCAGTTTTAAATAGTGGATTTCAGTTCCTACGGATGCATCTCAGAGTGAAGTCTTCAGTCAGTGTTTTGGTATCAGTCCCCTTGTTGCTACAGCAGCCCAGCATGTCCAGCTTTTGAAACTGTTCTTAAGCCGAGACACAAGCGTGTGAAGCAAAGTTGCTCATTCCCTCTTCCCCACGGGGCCCAGGGCCCTGCCTGTATTCATCCTCTGCCCTGCCATCTCTCTGCCAAGGGGAGCTGCTGGTGCGTTTCTGAATGCAGGTGCTTAATGTGAACAGTGGGGTCGGGTGAAAAAAGAAGCAAAATATCAATTTGACTGGAAGCAACTTACACTGTTGCCAATTCTTTTATGTTTCTCTTCCTTTAATAAGAGGTGAGACTTGAGGAAGTCAGTAATGAATATTTAAACATATTCTGAAGTGGCCAGATGCAGTTTTTCACGGGCTTCTATCCTGGACATTTTAAGTCTTTGAAATCTTGTGTTGAATTATAATGGGAGTGGGGAGGAGGGAGGGGAGAACCAGCTCCTTTTTGTTCCTTATTCTTGTTGGCAATAATGAATGGAAGGAATTTAATCCAATGAAAGTAATGAAACTTAATCCTTGCAATGTGTCTTTGTTACCCAGTTCAAAGAACTATTTTAATGCATCTTTTTCACACCATGCCCTCCCTCCCCAACTGAAGATACTTCAAATAGACTGCTTCAGAATGCACACTAATACAGCAGTAACTCTATCTTGGAGACCTTTCTATTGATTATTTCATTTGCCTGCCTGACTAGACAGTTTGTATTTTACTGACCTGAACATTAAGGGTAGAAAGGGTTCTCATCCAGCCCTCTTGTTGAATTTTTATCGTGAGCATTTGTTTTAAGAAGTCTTGAAGTGCCTTATGTTTTTAAAAGTGTATTTTGCTAGAAATGTATGAATGTAGAATATCTCTAACAGTATTTCATTATGAGCTGTAAAACAAATTGCAAACACTAAACCAAAAATGTTATTTCTACAGTTGTTTGTCCATTATTTACTGGCATCTCAATTCTGGTATTGCTGCAGGCAGAAGCCTTGCAGAATTGTAAATATTAAAAACAGGGCTATACATGGTCAGGGAACAGATGAGCTTTGACCTGTGCTCTGTAAAACCAAGAGTAGGTAAGACTTTCCGAGGGACTGCTGAAACTCTTGGTTTTTGAGGCCCACTTGGGACAGACCAGTGTGTGTGAGACCAGACTCTGTTTTACTTCTGGTACAGTGTTGCAGAAATTCGCTTCAGAGTTCAAAGGTAGAAGTAACTCATGGGCAAGATAAATACACAAACAAGAGAGCACTCATGGTGGAGTTTTCCAGCACTAGGAAGCAACAGTTCTAAACTTCTGGAATTGTTTCCCTCTTAATACGCTAACCCTGAAACCTGTAAATGACTTTTTGAATGTTATTTTTCTGATCATGTTAAGTGGCTACTGTGTTCCCATTTCTTGTGTAATCCCATGTTTTCTCCTACATCCTGAAAAGCATTTGTGATCTATTGCCAAAATGTTTCAGATCATGCCGTGCAATTACCAGTTGTCATACAGAAATGTGGTCTACTGGAAAATTCCTTCTCCTTGGGGCTGCTCTCAGTCCAGTCCTTGCCCAGCCTGTGTTTGTGCTTGGGATTTCCCTGACCCATGTGCAGGCTTTGAACTCGATGAGGTCAGCACGGTCCCACCTCTCCAGCCTGTCCAGGTCCCTCTGGATGGCCCATCCCTTCCCTCCAGCGTGTCAGTTGCACCACACAGCTCAACGTCATCAGCAAACTGCTGAGGGTGCCTCCATCCCACTGTCCATGACCCCAACACAGATGTTAAACAGCGCCGGTCCCAACACCAACCCTTGAGGAACACTGCTTGTTACTGCTCTCCACTTGGCCATTGGGCCATTGATTGCAACTCTGTGAGTGTGACCATCCAGACAATTCCTTATCCACCGAGGGGTCCATCCATCAAACCCCTTTCTCTCCAGTTTAGAGACAAGGATGTCATGTGGAACAGTGTCAAAAGTTTTGCAGAAGTCTGGGTAGATGATGTCCGTTGCTGTTCCCTTATCCACCAGTGCTCTAACCCTGTTGCAGAAGGCCACCAGATCTGTCAGGCACAATTTGCCCTTAGTGAAGCCATGTTGGTTGTCACCAATCACCTCCTATTTCTCATGTGCCCTAGCAGAGTTTCCATGATCTTGCTAGACAAAGAGGTGAAACTGGCCTGTAGTTCCCTGGATCTTCTTTTATCCTCTTTTTAAAAATGGCATTATATCACCCCTTTTCTGGTCAGTGGGAACTTCACCAGACTGCCATGACTTCTCAAATATGATGGATAATGGCTCAGCCACTCCATCCAACAGTTCCCTCAGGACCTGCGGAAGCATCTCATCAGGTCCCATGGACTTGTGCACCTTCAGGTTCCTTAGATGTTCTTGAACCTGATGGTGGTTCTTCATTCTCCCAGTCCCCATCTTTACCATTACCTCTGTCTTGGGTGATGTGGCTGGAGTACTTGCTGGTGAAGACTGAGGCAAAAATGTCATTAACTATCTCAGCTTTATCTATATCTGGGGTGACCAAGTCTCCCTTTGCCTTCTGGAGAGGGCCCACATTTCCCCTAGTCTTCCTTTTATCACCAACATACGTGTGCAAGCTTTTTTGTTGCTCTTGACATCCCTGGCTGGATTTAATTGTCACAGCTTTGGCCTTCCTAACCTGATCCCTTTCTACATAGACAGTTTCTCTGTATCCCTCCCAGGCTACCTGTCCTTGTTTCCACCCTCTGTAGACTTCCTTTTTGTGTTTGAGCTTGTCCAGGAGCTCCTTGTTCATCCTTGCAGGCCTTCTGGCATTCTTACCCAACTTCCTCTTTGTCAGGATGCATGGCTCCTGAACTTGGAAGAGGTGATCCTTGAATATCAACAAGCTTTCTTGCACCGCCCCCCC